TCTGATGCCTACCCTTTGACCTGTCCAGCAAGGGAGGCCCTGCCAGTAGCTACGCTACCGCTGGTATAGCTCTCAGGGTCCTTGGCATACTCAAACACCCTCACCACGATAAGGTGGAGACACCAACGAGGGGTAGTATGTATATAGCTATCAACAATTACCCTGTGCTTCTGCAGTCCAAGCATAAAACTAGTCAGGCTGATTAAAATGTGTTTAAATGAAACATATAGTTTAGTCCATATAGGTAAATATTTGTCTTATAAGTTTCCTATTCAAAATGATCTAAAACAAGGGGATATGCTTTAATGCCAATGCTGTTGTGGGAACATCCCACATTATCACGCATTTTCTGCAACACACACTCTTCACATCACTTTTCACCATCACGTGTGCTAACCAATCAAATTGCACCAAACGTTCGCATTTATACAGCGCCTCCTGCTAGCCTGCATCTACATCATTACGCACGCTAGCCAATCGATTCTTCCTCCTCAATTTCAAGTTTCGCTCCGCCCACCGAGCAGTGTATAAAAAGGGGCAGCTTCAATGCCGAGTCATCAGTCGATCATCAGTCTACGATCAAGCCACAGCAAGCAACATCAGCCAGCAGGCTTCGTCGCCAGCGCTCAGTCTTCGGAGGCATCGACAGGCTGCACCAGGCACGACTGCCTCGGCACTCTGGCTCTCTCACACCCGACTCACTGGGGCACCTCGTCTGGACCTGCCGGTGGTCGTGTCCCTGTCCGACCCACTGGGCATCTGGCGTAGCCACTGCCTCATCACTCCTACGACTGCGCTCAAAGACTAGCCTTTCACCAGCAGCCTACGACTGCGCTGCGTTAACCACGCAACTCCAACCCGCCTGCCGCATGGCAACCAAGCAACCTCCAGCAACCAGCCCACTCACCACCACTAACCTAGCCACTGCCTCATCACTCCTACGACCGCACTCAAAGACTAGCCTTTCACCAGCAGCCTACGACCGCGCAGCGTTAGCCACGCAACTCGAACTCGCCTGCCGCATGGCGACCAAGCAACCTCCAGCCACGGCCGCACTGCGGCCAGTCCACTCACTGCAACTAACCTCTCTCCCTACCGGCGCGAGCCGCGCTACCTCACCGGTCAAGCATCTCAGCAACCACGGCCCTTTTCAGGACCAACAAATTGTTCCGAAGAAGTGGGTTGTCATAGGAGTAATGACAAAACTACAATAAGACCCCACACTGTTCAACTTTGCTTTAGAATATGCCATTATGAAGGTCCAGGAAAACAAGGTGGGACTGAAATGAAATGGGACACATCAGCTGCTGGTCTATGCTGACAATGTGAATCTACTTGGAGATAACACAAATACCATAAAGGAAGAAACAGAAACTTCAACTGATGCTAGTAGGCACATTGGTCTAGAAGTAATTGCCAAGAAAACTAAGTATATGTTGCTGTCTCATCACCAGAGTATGTATGTATTCTATGATATTTTATTATTTTATGATAATGTTCTATATCCCTCTTTGGATCTCTTGAACTTACAATAAATACAAATACAAGGCAAAATCATGACATAAAGATAGTTAACAGATTTGATTTGGTTCATCCTGGTCAGTCACACTAGCCTATATATCAAAAGAGGTTAAGCAACTCCGTCCAGTGCGACTGATAAAATGTTTTTTCTTTCGTTCCTTTTTAATCTTTTGTCCTTGACATATTTCAATCTTAGAGACCATCTTCAGAAGGATATATCAATACAGACAGAAACTACTATTACGATGTTTTTGGTCAATATCAATACATACAGACAATACAATCACAATGCCACGAATATAAAAACTGACCCTTTAACAACTACAGTGATGTGCATGAGTACATTAAAATATTTATAAATTATTATAATTAGTTTATTTACAAGTGTGGTTTATAAAGATTTTGTTAAAATTTTTAGAACCAATTTGGTTCGTGTCCTTTATATTGTTTCTCTTTAAAGGAAGTTGAGTGTCTACCACATTGTGGTTCCATCATCTGGTGAACAGGACTCTTTAGTGTCATCCTGTTGTTCGGACAATGCTGTGTGGTTATACTTGACTGTTATAAAGGACATGAACCAAATTGGTTCTAAAAATTTTAACAAACTCTTTTTAAACCACACTTGTAAATAGATTAATTGTAATAATTTATAAATATATTAATGTATTCATGCATGTCACTGTAGTTGTTAAGGGATCAAATTTTATATTAATGGAATTGTAATAATATTGTATGGATGTACTGATATTGACCAAAAACATTGTAACAGTAGTTTCTGCCTGTACTGATATGCCCTTCTGAAGATGGTCTTTAAGACCAAATCATGTCAAGGATGAAAGATTAAAAAGGAAAGAAAGAAAAAACATTTTATCAGTCACACTGGAATGAATTTATTAACCTTTTATAACAGTTAACAGATCCTTTGAAAATGTGGCACAGTTCAGATATTTAGAAATGACAGTAACAAATCAAAATTTGATTCAGGAAGGAATTAAGAGGCTGAATTTAAGTAACATTTCTGTCATCTTGTCTGCTGTCTGAAAACATAAAGAAAAATTAGAATATACAAGACTATAATTTTGTCTGTGGTTCTGTATGCTCTCGACTGAATTCTAAGCACAAGTATTTCAATGATTCATGATATCATGCAGTTTTTTTTTTACGTACAGATTCTGTCTCTGAGGACAAGGCAGAGATGGCAAGCCCAGACGTAAGGTGCCTTCCCCCAGCACTTTTACAATCACCTCATCGTCATTCAGATCTGAATATGGTAACTTTCCAAACTCGCAAACCTCCCATAGTACAACGCCCAGGCTCCATACGTTCGCACTCGCTGTCACCTGCCAAACACAACTTCAATTAGACGTGAATGTTATAAAAAAGTATGCTATCACCAAAATTCTTACCAGTTCATCCAGTATATATATGAAAATGAAACTTCTCTGCTTCCTGTGAGATCTGAGGTTCTCACAGCTGTGACTCTAAAGTGTGGTTTCTTCTGGGATGTGATGCTGCGTAGATTAGTATTTTCTGACATTCAGAGGAATATGCTGCTTCCATCTTCAGGATCACAAAGTCACTCAACTTACTGACTGCTCCACGCTTCTTTGAATACTATGCTTACTCTGCTTTACCCCTGAATAGGAAAGCAGCATGTTTCTCTGCAACATCAGTAAATTTCAACCAAACTACACAATGTAATATCCCAGAAGACTGTACACTTTCTGTGTTCTGATCCTGCCAAATACGTAACACAAAACACTCTATACTGTTGCCAAAATATGGCAGCCACAGCTGTTAAACAATATGTAAGTGCCATAGCAGGGTTTTTTGGTCTTCACATAAATCCTCATTTCCATTTTATTGCCTTTTTAGTTTCCTTGATCAATATACTGACTAAACTGCAGGCTGGACTACTGAGGAATTAGGATTTAACTCCAAGTGTTGGCAGAGAGTTTCACCTTCTTCATTAGTACTCAGATCCACTCTGGGACCGACCCACTCTCCTCTCCAACAGGCAACAGTCTCTCTTTTCTTTCTGGGGTTAAGTGGCCAGAGCATGAATGTGATCACTCACCTCCAGCCCAGGTTAAGAATGCATTGAGATATATCTCCAATCCCCACATATTTCATGGAATGGTGCTTAATTATCCACAAAGATGATTTCCATTTTTACCTTTATATGTGAAAACTTTTCTGGTATTGCCAAAAAAAAAACATTCCAGGTGAAAAATGGGCACTTCTGTTGCTGTTCATCCCCTTCTCATTATTCAATTTTACATTATTACATTTTACCATTACTCTTTTACCAAGTTTCTTGATTGTTTCCTCATCCTTGCTCCTGATAGTTTCTTCTGCCAATGCTTCTCTTGCGCCAGGCAATTCTGTCGGTTTCCTCTGTCTGCCATGCCACTTTAGCATCGTGGCTCATCACCCTGTGGGCGATGGCCTCTTGTTTTAGGCACCAATCCTGATTCTGGGGCTGTTCCATCATCTGGCGACAGCGCTCCATGGCCAGTTTTCGGTCCTTACACAGTTTCTTCTTCAGACTTCTAACCAGCATCACTGTGGCATCTTCTACGGGGACCTCTTGTTCTGCCGCCTCAAGTTTCATGTCCACTGAGGTTGGCTCTTTTTCTTCTTCCAGCCAGGCTTGTGTATTGGCGTCCAATTTTTCTCACATGGCGGTCATCTCTTCTCACCAGGCTTTCTCGTCTTCTTGCATGGCCCTTATTTCCTTCAGCAGGAGTTCCATCATCTGCTGTGTGTCCATTTTTGTTTGTCTTAATTGCGTGTTTTAGTCCAATCTGACCACTTCTAACACCAGTCTAATGTGGTGTTTGTTATCAGTCATATCAATCACGTGTGTAAGTCCAATCCCACTTCTATGACCCTAGTGTGGGTTGTCTGCTGTGTGACATGACATGACATGACATGAATAAATAGCATGGGTCTTCGGATTGGAACAAATTCTTTAATTGGACACTTATTTTTACACTTACACATATATTTACTCACAATTTCAGTATCACAATCACTGCTTCTGCTATAGTCGAAGCCAAACTGAAGACTGACTACTACTGACTGATCTCTTCGAAGGTTGAACACAAACTGATTTGTCTCTTGTTAAAGCTGGAATTTTATAACCTCATCTTGGACATTGTTATGCAATGAACCCTCTGTTGTCCTTTCATCTCCAGGGAAACGCATCTGTTTTTGGGCTGTTCCTATGCAACGGCCCACTGTTATTGTGTTTCCATGGAAGTTCCCTTTGAATTCACGGCATGCAACAATACTAAGCAGATAAGCAGAATGATCATACATACTTCTTTTGTTTCAATTGTAGTATCTGTGCAATGCAAGGTCTCTGGCGCACACCACCGGATCGGCAATGCCACTTCTCCTGCGCAGTAGTAATCCTCCTGCAACAGAATCATTTGTCAAATACATGACCAGATGTCCTGAATAGGTACCCCTGGCACACATATGTTTTATTATAATTAGATTGCTGTACTACTTAAATTCACCATATCACAGTGCTAGAGTTAGCTTAAATTAGGCTTGTCCAACTTAAGACCACTGAAGGGCTGTTCTGTATTTTACGTACCCAGCTGTGGGCCATAGTATAAAAATATATTTTTTTCCATACATCAACAGAGATACCTTTCATCCAGTGATAATATCTATGAATAAGGAGTGGACACATAGAGCTAATAAACATTTCTTTAAACTGAATGTTGCCAGGTTAACCATACTTCAGAAACAACTGCTAAAAGTGTGTCAGATACTGAACATGATCACTGATTCATATTAATTACAAACATGTCTAAGTTATTCATTACAGGTGGTGAGAAATAAGTGAAAAATTACCTAGAATATTCAATAAGCTTACTTACTTTCTTACTTACTTACTCATGGAGCTGAGCCCTTCTGCAGCTACTCAAGAATTTCCCAGCATTTTATGGAACCCAAAGGTTCATCACCGTGTTCACAAGAGCCCTCTACTGGTCCCTATACTAGGCCAGATCTATCCACTACATCCCATCCTATCTCTCTAAGATCCATTCTGTTATTGTCCACCCACCTACGCCTTGGTCTTCCCTGTGGTCTCTTTCCTTCTGGCTTTCCCACTAATATCCTATATACATTCCTCATCTCCGCCATTCGTGCTACATGACCTGCCCACCTCATTCAATAAGCACTATCTGTAAAGCTCTATCAAGAAAATTTGCTACTGGATGGGCAGCAGTGACTTAATTTAATATTAAGTTTTAGTAAGCTGTGCAATAAAAGGTAAACAAAAAGGTCAAGCTATTCCTGTAACAGGCCGAGGAGGCCCAAGGGGTTCTGAAACGTTGAGGCTCCCACATTTTCTAGATAATCAGCTCACAGATGGGGGTGAGGGTGTCAGACTTATGCACCAGCTGGCCGCCCTTTATCCCCAGGAACATTCCTTGTACTCATTTCTGTTTGGGGCTGAGTCGACCTCAGGGTGATAATGTGGCAGGAAGGATTATGTCAACTGAAAAATCCAATGACCTCAGGCCCTCAAGGTGTTTTGGGCAGGCAATATGGCAAAGGGTTAACAGGAGAACACAGTGACAAGGTGAGATCATTCTTCGAACGTACTTGAAGTGCAATGATATCAAACAGTCCACTGTTCGTACTGATTATGCTCCTGATAAGAACAGCAAATGTTGTACCTGTTGGCTGTGAATAGCTTACATACTCATGAAGGAAACAGAATTAGCTTACAACAGGGGCTTTAAAATTCTGTGATATTGCAATAAACTGAATATATAAATTTATGTGATCCTCAACCCTTGCTGATTGGTCAAAGTGCAGCTCTGCACACTGCTGTAGGTCCTTATTAAACTATACAGTGACAACAGAAACCTAAATAGCTTTACAGCCTTTACATTAAGCTATAACATGTTCCTGTATGGTCAGTAAAACATGCAATTTTGTACATTGTTGCAGATCCCTATCATGCTGTACTGTGACAGCTGGAACCTAAACAGCTTCATAGCGTCTCTACCTGTACAATAAATTATAAAAGGAATTTGTATAGTAACAAAAGAATTAATAAAATGTTTTTCCCACTGCTGTAACATTTTCCAAATTTTACTAAACTGCCAAAACTGTGCCTGTATACGAGCATAATTAAAAGCAATTCTTCAGAATTTCACAACACCTCAGGGGGTTATGACTTAAAATTTAAGAAACAAGGGCTGCCTGTTCATAGTGTGACACTATAGTGTGAGATCTGAGGCTCTCATGGCAGTGAACATGAAGATAATCGTAAAAGAGTCTTCTACCCTGAAGGGGGAGGAAGCAAGTTACTCCAAAACACTGGTACTATTTACAGAACTACATGGCATTACAAGTAAGAAATACTTATCACTGTGAGAATCTCAGGTCTCATAAAATATAAAACATTACTCACTTTAAATGTTTCGATGCCAGTTCCATAGTCACCAATTTTGACTAATAAATCTGGGGTTACAAGGCAGTTACGGGCAGCCAGATCTCTGTTGGGGCATAAATGCGAATAATAAGTAATAGTACAGAAGGCGAGTAACTGAAACATAACCTTAATATTTACAAATTTTATTATTCAGCCCAATTCAACTCTGATTTCATCGACTTACTTACGTTCATGATGTGTATTTGTACCAACCGTCTTACAGTGCACGCAGTGACAAGGGTCACAAGGGAAGGACACAACACAGGACACAATATACACAAGAATATAGGAAGAGTACACCCATAGGAGAGGATTGACGTAACTCGCGAATTTGAAGTGTGACGTATAGATGATAAATCTTGAAAAGTTTTAATATATACATTTTATTATTATACATGACATATTTACATTTTAATCATTTTATAAAGGAGACATGATGGCATACAGTGCAATGGTTTGACGTAAATAAAACGACACCTGATAATGGCACATTAGTGCTGAAACATGTAGTGAAGAGAAAGGTGAAATTGTGTGCACTGCTGGTACAAATACACATCATGAACGTGAATCAGTGCAACAGGACGCTAAAATATAACATTACTTACTTACTTACTCATGGAGCTGAGCCCTTCTGGAGGAGCTGCCAATTTACAGCTACTCAAGAATTTCCCAACATTTTATGGAACCCTAAGGTTCATTACCGTGTTCACAAGAGCCCTCTACTGGTCCCTTTCCTGAGCTAGATCTATCCAATCCATAGCATCCCATCCTATCTCTCTAAGATCCAGTCTAATATTGTCCAGCCACTTACGCCTTAGTCTTCCCAGTGGTCTCTTTCCTTCTGCCTTTCCCGCCAATATCCTATACACATACCTTGTCTAACCATTCGTGCTACATGACCTGCCCACCTCATCCTGAGTTCATCGACATATCATTAAATCAAACATTTGAAAATAAATAAAAAAAAAATGCACAACCCTTCTGCACTGGTAAACTACACCTCCTGCCCTAAAACTGAACTATTTCAACAGTCATCTGTTTACATATGGGAGCCCTCAAAGTAGATGAATTCACCTGAACTGGCTGATGTCCCACAGCAATGAAAGTAAGCTACCACTGAGTTACTTGGACGTGATGTGAAACTGACACACTGCACAAACTCTAAAATAGTTGTCTTAGAACATGAGTCACCACCATGAAGTAACTTTAAACTTGGTTTTCTCATTGTTCAGGAATCCTGCCCTAAAGATGGTGACACAAAAGTTCTCCAAATAATCGCAAACTAATCAAAACAGAAGATGGTATAGCAAGTGTCATGTAACGTTCAACAAGACCAAGAGTAACCTGGAATGCGCAGAAGAAAAATTCAGACAAGGGGTTTGGGTTCGAGGGTCTGTGAAAGTGGAAGAACGAATGTTAAGAAACTTGTCCCACCACAAGCTATGCATGGGATTTGACTAGGAATGTGAGGCCTTGTTCGAAGTTACATGACACTGTCTATACTGTCATCCAAAAATGGAAACAAGATTTATTAGTACTGCTTTTGTGATGTACACTCTGGCGTGAAAAATTGTTTCAGGGAAATATATCGCTAACATCTACAGGCTTGGAGAGTATGCCAAGCAGCACCCTTGCTGGTTGCTTACTTGGCTAATTCTTCAAACCTGAAGATGGATGCTGTACATTCCTCTCAAACATCACTAAACTTATATTGTACTGCATAGTCTCACAGGCCAGAGGCAGTTCTCTTCATACCGCTGTAAGAACCTTAACTCTAACGAAACAAGATTAATTAATGTAGGTTTGAACGATTGAAAACCACCAAATTAAAAAAAAAAAACAGACAAAGAACAGCCATTCCAGTTAGTGTTATACTATTGGAACATACGTATGTACAAATCCATTGTTGTGCATATGGAGCAAGCCTGATGCAATGTTGCAACACATCTGCAAGGTGACACCCTGTTGGTTCAGAGCCTCCGCTGTGGCGATGTTCTGGGACAGGAAACTTTTCAAATCACCCTGTAACAAAATCAAAGAATCATCTTTCGTTGTCTCCAATTCCATACAAGTTTCAAGATTACTGCCTTCCAGGATGTGACCCTGTGTAGCCTGGGAGACTGTCGCCAACGCATCATAGTTAACTTGCCGCATCCACCTGCTTTCCCATTTTGTTCAGTCTATCCTCTCCCCTCTGCTTCTTCATCCCCCCTCACCTACACCCTCTGAATTAGTTGCTATTACTACTTCATTTCTTCCCCCATACATTCTGCTCTTGAAAATGGCCTTAAATGGGCCCACTATCAGTCCTAGGGTCATTAACTGGCACCCTCTGGGTCCTTTATTTGAGGGCCATCCATGAATTCTGATAAACGAAATATGCGGAAAGGCTTTTAGATGTTATGGTTACCAACATATCAACTAACGAACTCCATGAAGCCAAGTCCTTCTTTAAAGGCTACCTTTAGAAGCTACCCAGAAGTGGAAATCAGGGATCATGCAGTGGCCACTTCAGTCCCCATGGAAAAGTCCATTGCACCTACTGGACAACAGGCTAGGTGGGCCCCACAGCCAGTCTGGACAATGTGAAGACAATAATCTCCTGCCACTGTCAGAAATTATACCCTGATTCTCTGCCCTTACAGCCTACAGCCTAGATTGTAGACCATTTTTACCCTACTTTCCCTACTTTCAAAAAATAAAAGTCGACTTATGGGATCACCTTGATCTCTGTGTGTCTGTGTATTGTTCTCGTCATTGCTAGGCAACAGCTCGGTAAACAAGTTCCCACAGCAACGAAGATGCAAACAATAACATACAAATTGTTGGATGCATCATTCTCTGCGCAGTTCACGTCATACCAAAGGAAACTGGGCAATTAGTTCCTCCCAAAACTTCTTGTATTTATTTATGGTTCATGAGTGTCTGTAGCACAGACTCTACAGCACTGAATAGTCATGCAATTAGCTAATGAATTATAAATGTGGTGGAATGAAGCAGTCATTGACTAATCTGAGATATTATCCAGGTAACTGCTGGGAGAGATAGAGGAACATCACAAAAAACATCAATCAGGAACGTCTGTGTCCTGGATTAAATTTGAGCAGTGTATATTCTAGATAAAAGTCAGAAGTGTTACCACTTGAATCAGTCTGCTTGTGTCACTACACTGAGAGAGCTATCCCAAATAAAGAGAATGAATGAACCTACACCGGGGCATGCCTCCAGTAAAATCAGAAACGGATCAGTCTCCAAGCATCGACCTAGCAGTTTCAGGATGTTGGGATGATTCAGCTCCCGGTACGGTTTCACCTCATGCAGGAAATACATCTGGTCAGTCGTTGTCGCATCTTCATGCAGAATCTTCACCATCACTTTGCTAGTTTTCTGTTCGGGAACAATGTTTTGAGCTTCCCCTTCCACCACCTGCAAGACAGAGACACATCGTTGGAAACACAGCAACACACCATTCCCTAGAACAGAGATTCCCAATCTCTTTTTCTCTGAGGTCTCCTTGATGTGAATCACAATTTTTGAGGCATCTCCCCTCAAAAATGTAAAGAATAGATATGAAATGTGATTTAGTATTTAAAAAAATACTTCTTAATAAAATTAATTACATCTATGTATTAAGTGTTTTATGTATTCTACCATATGTTTGTTATTTAAAGCAGATTCTTCTTATCAAGCTATACATATGATAATCGGACAATCAGGATTTTTAATGATCCCCAGAAGAAAGCTTTATGTCCTCCTAGGAGGCCGCAGCAAGAGTCCTTGAAACCTTAAAAAATATGTAACATTCTATCTTCTGGGATATAATACCACATAGTCCATTGAATGTCAACTGACTACAAGGCATTATATGCCAGAAAACAGAACTCTTCATAACCACTGCTGTGAGAACCTCAAATCCTACATAAAATATATTTAACAATTCCAAATAATAGTTACTAATTAACTGAATAATGTCTATCAAATATTCTTCATATTATGCTGTATGTTTGTAATTTAATATGGGCTTTTAATATCAACTCATTTGTGTTATAATCAGATTACAAGCACTTTTGGTGGACCCCAGAAGACAGCTTCACAGACCCCTTGGAGGCCCTGGCTCTCACTTTGAAGAACACTGTACTAGAAGACACCTATAGATTTCACGCATATTATCCAAGTCTTATCTCTTGATTTAATGTAGTTCACGGTTTAAAGACATTCTATCAAGCAGAGAGCGATCTTAATTGATGATTCCTGAGGCTGGCCTTATTATCGGCTACCAGTCCTACAAATCATTTGAATTTGAGCACAAACAATCCTTCTCAATGCAAGATTACTGTCTTCTGTGTTGTGATACACATGTTTACGTTTTGTGGTATAATTACCATTACTATCAATATCGATAATGCTGTACTGAACTATCCTGTTGCATGCAACTTATTTTTACTTCCAATTTCACAATCTCACAGCTGCACAAGACACATGAGAGAAATCACCCAGCACTACAAACGTACAACGCATGGGCACATAAAAATGGGTATAATTTTGGACCGTATTCATTGACAGAAGTGCCAACAGTTTTCAATATCAATTTTCAAAGCATCTGATGATGAACATATCAGTCGAAACATGTGGTGCACTAGTGACTTAAAAGTCAAAGTGAATTTTAAGATGTTAATGTAAGTTGTGTGCAAGATGGTGAAATAAGAAGTTGAATATAAGGATGGTAGATGATAGATGAACAATAATTTTGAAAGGATTTGGAAGGAAGTGGCTGCAACCAAACTGAAGAACCACCCTGGCATCTGTCTGGATGGACTAAGGAAAATCATGAAAAATCTCAGTCAGTATAGTTGGTGTCACAGTCAAGATTTGAACCAAACAACTTCCAAACATAAGTCTAGATTTTTACCCCTAGACCACCCTGTTTAGTCTTATGCGTGTAGTATATCTGATAGGTGCCAATGTTTAGGATTATCTTATTTCTTCCATCTTGAAGGAAGAAGAGTGAAAACTGAGGCAGCCCATTCCTCCAAAACATTTTAACCTACCCAATAATTGCATGATGTCACAACACAGAAAATAGTAATCCTAAAAGTATGAATCTTCATTGTCATGAAAACCTTGAATCGTATGAAATATGCCATTAGCTGCTATGAAGTCTGAAGACTACTAAAGCTTAAATGATTTGGAATTCAAGTTTAGAAATCCGTGTCAATAATTTACAAAACTAGTGAGATCATTCTTTGATCCTACGCAACCCACAGACGTTTAACTCAATGGCTACTTACTCTTCCAAACCAGCCACGACCCAACTCACGCAGATATTTCAACTGCTGCCTTGGGAAATTCACGTGAGGATCTTCTGTAAACATTAACACAGATTGATCAGGTTCAAAATGTGAGCCAGATGGATCCAAAGCTGAGAATACCATCAATTATGCATTTCTTACATAAGCCTGGCATAGAAGACCTTCCATTCTCTAACTTCATGTGGCCGAGCCCTTCTTGAGAAGCCTCCAGTTGTGCAGCTACTCAAGAAGTTCCTAACATTTTTGGAAACCTAAAGGTTCATTATTGTGCTCACAGGAACCCTCCACTGGTCCTTATCCTGAGCCAAATCAATCCAGTCCATACCACCACACCCTATATCTCTAAGATCCATTTTAATATTATCCACTTACCTACATCTTGGACTGCCATCTGGCTTTAGAACCAAAATCCTATATACATTCCTCTTCTCCCCATTCAGGCCACATTACCTGCCCATCTCATAATCCTTGACTTGATCATTCTAATTATACTTGGCAAAGAGTAAAATTTATGAAGCTCCTCATTATGCAGTTTCCTCCAGCCTATTATCACCTCATCCCACACAGGTCAAAATATTCTTCTCAACACCCTGTTCTCAATCACCCTCAGTCTACGTTCCTCCCTTAATGCCAGAGACCAAGTTTCACACCCAAACAAAACTAGTTTCAAAATATGAAAATTAATCAACATGAAATGTGTTACCCCTTTGACTTTCCAAACACTGCCATAGAACTGCCTGCTAAAAACATCATGGCTATTTTTGGGGGAGAAAGAAAACACAGTTCGACAGAAAACCCACATTATTTTCTCTAAATATCAGTAACTCACACTTGATGCCATCTACTGAAAGTAGTACTGTACTATCTTATTAACAATAGCCAACCTCTTTGGCTGCGCTGGTATGAATACATGTGCCTCGAGCTGATCTAACAAGCTTGTGAGGTGAACAGCATTAATGAACCATGTAGCCTTATGTGCGCAAATTGACTGTAAGGTTATAACTAAGTTAAGATGTTATCACATGTGACTCCATCTTGGGAAGCCAAGTGGCAATCTAAATGCCTCAGCAAGTAGGGTGCTGTGCTTCATTCAAACTGTAGGAATGCTGACAGGCTAATTCCAAAAGGAAGCGCACAGGAGATCATAGTTGTTGTGGTTCAGAGGCCAGAATGGGCCACACTCTAATCTAATACTAAGAAGAAATGTAGCCCATATACAGTGTCCTTGTACTTACGAAACCAGTCCTGTGAAGACAGCCCATGGGTGACTGCACTGTTGAATGCTGCAGGACGTCTACTGTGAGGCTGTGGCAGGCGAATGTCTGGCAGAGGCTCAAACCGAACAACAGACGATCTATCTCCTGGAACTGACAGCTGGTTTGATGACGAGGCACTGGTGACGACTGTGTGTGTTGGAGGGAATATTGTGAATTCAGTGGTGGAGGCAACAGAATTCACATACCCTCCTGTTCCAGAGAGACTGTGGCTTGATGTGCTGTCTGTGAATTCCTGGAAAGAATGGAACATCACAGTATGAAAACCTCTCCACTAGATTGTTACATGTTATCTAAAAACTATCCTCCAATGAAGAGAATGTGAGGCACGTGGATAGAATTGGTGGAGACTGATCATTCTACTGTCCATGCAGGAACACACCTCTGCTTCAGTGTTCCAACAGCAGTGGAAAGAATGACCTCAAAATCATATTAATGCTTCCTGATGAAGGCAGGTTTTGGTAATTTGCCTCACCTTCTCTTCAATAAAGTATGGTAACTCTGACAATGATTAAATCACTCATGTGTTATGTTTATACTAACTGGATTATGGTCATCATGAACCCCATATACAGGTACAGTTAAATTTCAATAGGAGTTGCTTCTCTGGGAAACATAGTGTAATTGATATGTTCCTTTGATTTATCTTCCAAAACATATACAATAAACAAATGAAAATTGTCTGGAATATTATTTATTTCAATTCTTTTCTGATATATATACTATAGAAGTGATTCTCAACCATTTGCATCTTGTGTCCCACTCTGTCACAGAACAGTATTTGAAACAAAGCTTCTCTTTGTCAAAGAAATGTATTTATAAAGTACATACATTTGAGTATTATATTAATCACTAATGGAAGATCTGCGATGGAACTACAGTACTAATCTAGTATAAGGAAGTGAACCTTGGACAATTAAACCAAGAGATAATCAGCAGAGATCAAATCAGGCTGCACTACATTACAACATATTAAGAATGACAATATTAGGAAATAATTAGAGTACAATCAGCACAAAATGAAACAGATGGACACAAAAGAACTGGACAAACCATAGGGATAGGATGATCGAAGAATATGGAAAAAGATTCTACAGAATAAACTAAAAGGATGCCAAGACCAAAGAAAAACTTGGAAAAGGTGGAGTATGTGAAGTTGGCATGGGCTTCACTGCCTATACTCTGAAGTGAACAAGAGGAATATGAAGAGGTGGTAGTAGTAGTAGTAGTAGTAGTAGTAGTAGTAGTAGTAGTAGTAGTAGTAGTGGTAGTAGGAGGAGGAGGAGAAGAAGAAGAATAAGCAGCATCAGCAGCTGAGAAATACTGTGATACGGGATAGGTCGAAAAAGGTTTTTGAAAAGATTTAACATACAAACTGCTGAGGACAGGGAAATATGCGATACACATGTAATGTTACTGGAGCAAAAATCATGCAAAGCAATCCCACTTCACTATGCTTAAGATTAACAGGCATATGGACAAAACGGACAAGAATAATTTCATAACATGCTTGTTACGATTGAGGCCCAGAAACTCTTTATCATTTATTTCATCAACTTTCCAACACAATAAACACATTATTGCATAAAACAATAATCCATATATCCTCCAATGCTGCCAACTTATGGTCCTATTCACAGTTATTTCCTGACATACGTACTTAGAAAATAACCACAGGAAACCACGCCTGTGGTCCTAAAAATAAAAATGCTGGGGCAATCTGTGATGCAGTTTCAGGCTCAAACAAATGACGGTCAATCACATCATGAGGCTGTTTACATAATGACATAATTCTGCTTTTAAATGCAGAACTGCATGGCATACAGCTCATAAAAATCACATACTTAAAAGAAGGCTGACATAACGTCAAAAGTTAAAGAAGCTAAGGTTATTATATTTTCATTGTATGTCAAATTTTACCAAAGATACTTTAAAATTTTTCCTGTTAAAGTAATTTTGTGATGATAATATTCTATTATGAAAGTGAAATTATGCATTAAAGGCATGCATTAAAAAAAATGAACAGGTTTCTTTTAACTATTATTAATTGATGCTTATGTTTCCCATCACCGTCCCTAAAGGAACTGTCAGAGCAGGATCCTGGCACTCTAAAAAGCACTGGGGCATTGTCATGACCCACCCCGGCTTCACTACAGCCCTGCAGAAGGCCAATTGTTACACAAGGACTGGCATGAATAACTGCTTGAGAATACTGCACTGTACCAGGCTAAACTGTTATCCTCTGTTCTATGTTGCTTGGGTGTGCAAATGCATACACAAGGCGTGCGCAATGTGTGTGGGCACTGGCAGATAGAGATGCATAGTCCCCATCTTGTATGAGAATGCACTGCAGTTTGAGGCACAACCAAACTCTACTTATGGCACTAGCTAGTATCAGTTTGTGCAAGAATTTTTACCAATACATACCTTGATAATTTTCCTCTCCTTTAGCTTGCAAAAAAAGAAAATGCAATGTAAGTATTATAAGTCCACTACATTAGATATGAAACTCTCATGGCAGTGAATAATACGATTATGGTCATCTGAGATGTGATATCACATAATTTGGTAGAAAGGTACCAAAGATTTTAAGGGAGTGCTGCCCGCTGGACACAAAGAGATGAAAACTGAATATTCCTCCAAAACGTCGGTACAGATTCGCCCTTTTCTGGGTATGACAAGTAGTAGCAGGGCAGTGGTTGCAGCTGCATTGTGGGAAGGAGGGCGACGACAGTAACTATTGTTATATTTTAGCGTCCTGTTGCACTGATTTAAGTCCATGATTTATTTAATCCGTCTTGCAGTGCATACACTCATTTAACTCCTTCTCTCCCTCGCACTACATGTTTCGGCATAATAATGCCATCTTCAGGTGCTTACTTATCCACGTCAAACCAGTTCATTGCATGCCATGTTCACACATTAAAATAACTAAAATATGTATCTATCATATACATTGTCAAACGTTAAAATATTAAAATTGTTCAGGATACCACATCGCTACCTCGCCCCTCACTACGTCAGTCACGCCCATTCTCCTTTGTTGGAGCACTCCTTCACTATCTTGTGTGTTGTGCTTTTGTTGTGTCGTGCTCCTGCGACTGCGTGTGTTATACTGTTAAGAGGAGTTAAATGAGTGTATGCACTGCAAGACGGATTAAATAAATCATGGACAGTAACTATGACCATGGGCACCACCAGGATCTTTTCCATGGGGGGGGGGCAGCCAGGGCAAGGGTTTTTTTTTATGGGGGAGGGTCACTAAATCTAACAAACTTATATTTAAATTGCTTAAGAATATTTTTACGGTTACCCCTAGGGCTGTAGGTCTGTATACTGAAATACAGATGGCGCCACATTTAAAATAATTTTCATTTTTGTTATCAATATCTGACATATTTCCTTCTATTTTTCAATTCTGATTCGATTCCCTATGAGGTCATTGGATCTTTCAATTTACCTAATCCTTCCAGCCGCAATATGGCCCTTGGGTCGACTCAGCCTCAAACAGAAATGAGTACAAGGAATCTTGCTGGGGGTAAAAGGCGGCTGGCTGGCATGTAAGGCTGACAACCTCACCGCCTTCTGTGAGCCAACTGCTTAGAAAATGTGGGAGCCTCGACGTCTCACAGCCCTACGGGTCTCCAGGGCCTGTTACGGGGATAGGTTTACCCTTCTAGCAGGTAGCAGGCGCCTGACTTGCGGCCCTCCACTCTACTGGAGCCCATGACTAGGGCCCTGTTATAACCCATGCACACCCTTAAGCCTCACCACAATCAGAGGACTCCAAAAATCCACTGGGTATTTTGCTGAGAATGGCCAAGTCTAAACACATGGACAGTATTTACCACTTTGTAAGGTGTAAAAACAAAGTAGACCATAAACTTATAATTTCACTACTTCAAAGAGTCAAAACAGAATATCAGGAACAAAGAACTGTCAACCTATTAACATTTTCATTAACTCTTCGTGGCATGAAGTACATGTAAATACTACTTCAAAATTCTGTTCCTACCTAGTGGAAAACACGCTCCGTCTTCATTACAAACATTAGCTGGTTAACGCCGTTTAGGGAAATAATCACCGCATCTTGTTATTGTAGGGGCGAGGGCACACCAAGGAAACTGGCAACCGCAACGCAACCGCAATTTCCGTGAATTGTTATCACCTTGAGTTGAACACACGTTACTGAATGGTGCTGCGCAAATCGAGGAAATAACAACGCTTTTTCCTCAATTTGCGCAGCCTCATTCAGTAACTTGTGTTCAACTCATCGATGTATATCATTACGCAGTCGCCAAAAGGGCACTGGATTCTATTTTCCACAACCTTCAGGTATTCATACGCGAGTGGGTAGGGAATAATCTTTTCGTCATTTTGCTCAGAAACAGAAAGAAGTACCAGGAATCTTTCTGGGGGTAAAGGGCGTCCGGCAGGCGCGTAAGGCTACCTCACAGCCTTCTGTGAATCGACTGTCTACAAAATGTGGGAGCCTCAACGTCTCTCAACCCTACAGGCCTGCATGGCCTGTTACAGGAATAGCTTTACTTTTGCACTAATTTCTGCAAATCCTATGAATCTTTTTCCAGAGAACATCACTAAAAGATGTGCTTCATTTTTTTTTGCCAGCAACACCAGATAATATGTGAATTCTCAATGTCCTTTTAGGAAAACCATGGTTACTACCTCTGATTCACCAGTTACAAAATCTCTTTTTATCTGCTTGAGTTACATCGAACTTACTTGTTTTTCTTCTCAGCCATTACTGTCTAATGAAAACAATAACATCAGATATCACTCCACCCTTTCTCCTTCCTCGTCTCAAAATATGTGTCACTTCTGTTTACAGCGCTAACATGACTCCAGCAGGAGACGTGAGTCCACATGCTGTGTTCATGAACCGGTCAAATTATAACGATTTGGGTTCCCAATGTATACTGAAAACAGAATCTAGTAAGATCTAGTAAATTCCTAATTGTGACGTAACGATTTATGTCACCACCTGATGACGTTCATTCAAATATGCTTAAGACGAAGAACAACATGGTTTATTCATTCTATTACACTAAATATTTGAGACCGTATCGCTGCAGCGGGCAGTGACGAAACATGGGGAAACACATCTGCACAAACTCTCATTGCTTGTGGCCCCACCCTTCCATCCATTGATTATTTTTCAACATGGCTCTCTCTCTCAAAATTCTGGCACATTTCCACGATGATATCATTCTTGAC